CCACTCTGAGAAAACGACATTAAACCAAGAAAGAAATCAATAAATCATATTTAAAGATTAATTTTAAAAACTTTGATCTGCGCAAAAATAGGCGGGAGCCAAAGGGTTAATATATGTCTTTTTTCATATATAAATATAACACTAAATTTTATTTTAATATACGATTCATTACATACGCTTGTAAGAATACTCGAAGATTGATATATAAAAAATTTAATCTTACTCTTTTGCAACATATAATTGTCTTTATTTGTAGCAATTGTACGTGTACTAGCAGAATTATTTCTTGTAGTATTGATAGTTCTATATAAATTTCATATACAATTTTGTTTTTAAAAATAATTCTGTTATTTCTTTTGTATTATCATCATTATTTAATAATTGTTCGTTTCTATCAATGATGTTGTTAAATATTTCCATTATTATCTAAAAGTAAAAGCTTTTTTTTTTGACAGGTAAATATAATTCTTATTTCGTTTTTATAAATACTAGAGAATTATATTGATTTGGTGTTATATAGAATAGAAAATAGGGATCCAACCTATTATCACATTAGAATATTGTACATAGAGAAATTATATTTTCTCTTTAATCATTATGATTATTATAATTCAACGAATCGTTTTTTTTTGTATTGTTTCATAGTAATACAATAAACAAAAAGAGAACATTCAAAGAATATGACTTTTTTTTAAATCAAAATTATTATTTAATATCAAAAACATCTTTTACTATGATTTTTATAATAATTGAGATATCTCTATTACTGTCTAATTTCAAATAATAGATATGAAAAAGAAAAAAACATTCTATTTTATTCCATGTATAAGTCTTCATATAATTAGATACAATGTACAATAATTATTGACAAGATTTGGACTGAATTTTTTTATGTAAATGTGATTTGAAATAATGTTTTGATTAGAGTTACACTATTATTCATACATAAAGAATTATAAAATGGCTCGAAAAAGATAGAGAGTATTTGGGTTTCTAATTAACAGATAATAATTGAGGGTAGATCTACCATACTCGATCATCTATTATATTAATGGTCTTGTGAATTGTATTAATCGAATGAGATATGAAAGAAATATTCATCATAACAGTTTATCTAATTTATGTGAAAAAAAATTTCCTACATTTCATTATTTATATAATTGAATCATGTTAATAAACAGTTTTAGTTGTATTTATATTCTGCAGCACAGATCTTTTATAATAAATTATCATTTTTTTATATTAAAATTCCATTTTGAATCAATAAGATTTGTTGTGATGGAATAAGTTGTGAATGAATAGAAGCAATCATCGAATTAGACATGTTTTAATCATTTATTTTAAATATTCAATTTGCATTAGTTTTATAGAATAAAAAAAAAGATTTTTTTTCATTTAACTTTCTACTAATCGCTAACGCTAAATTTTAAATTTATATTAAATATTGTTATATAATATAGAAAAAAAATTGAAAGTTCTGAGATTAAGCATATGCTTGTAAATGAAAATGAATGATTTCTTTTTCGTATCTTATATTACTTTAGAGTATTTGTTTCTTTTTTATCGATGTTGTTTATATTAAAAACAATTTTTTTGGTGTTAATCAAAGTCGCTGAAGATAAAAAGCCCTATTTGCGAATAATTCACTTTTGTCGAATTATGAATAATTGATTTTATTTTATTTTTAAACAAATATTAAAACAACCAAGATACAATTACATTACAATAAACCAGATTGATTCAGTTTTAGGAAACACTTATAATAATAATAATACATGTTACTTATTCAAAAATAAGTACATGCGTAAATTGATGACATATCGGACAGACATGATGTCTGTTATTATCATTATAACATTTTTGATGCTCGATATGACCGCAAGAATATTGAACAGTTTCATAATAATCATCATATATTAGTAATAAACATAAATCACATGATGCACAAGCAATTTGTTCAGCCATTTTAATATAAATAACATACTTTGAATTATATTACTATGAAAAAATATACGCTAATTCGTAATAGAATTTTCCTTATATAGAAAATTGTTAAGAACTTACTTGTGGTCACGAACAAATGAAAATGACTTACGCGTGACATTAAGTACTATTTAATTAGCATAAGGATGACATAATTATTAAAATGAACGATAAGAACTATCTTAGTACTTATTTTATATTACAATTTGATTCATTCGATGCGTTTCGAATAAATTACTCAATAATTATATAAATAAGAAATATTTTATTTATAAGAAACAAAGAAATTAATACACTAATACTACAAGCATTCAAAAAACAAAAAAAAACAAATAGAATTCTTTTCTTCGTGTAGAGAAAAATTTCTACTATAACGAAAAATTCTAATATCATCTGAAATTTCTAAAAATAATCGATTTGTTGATGATTGTCATGTTTAACATAATATTTTCTTTTTATTTACTTTTTTTTTATTACTCAGCAAATATATAATGTTTTATTTTATTGAGAATTCGTCATAGATTTCTATGACTCTTATAGTGAAGTAGAATACTGAAAGTAGATTGATCAATTAATTTAAAAAGAAAAAAAAAAGAGAAAATAATAAGTACTTAATAAAATTCAAATAGAAACATACATATGTAGACAAACTATAATATTTTATGTATTTTTTTTTACTTAAAAAATTTAAGAACATATTATTAATAGTCAAAAAATTTCAAATTGAAACAAATGATTCAGTATTCACATTAATACTGCTGTATAACTATATTATGATATACAATTATTTTTATTAAAGAATTTATTTCAAAAAAATTAATATTCTATCAAATCTGTCCTATATACACATAAACTCATGAGTTGTATAGATTTTATTTGCCATTTTTTTCCTTTAAATATCATCATTTTCCTTTTACCTTTTTATGTGATATAATACATTGATTCATTTATCATATTATATTAATCAATATATTACATTATAATTTCACATAAAATTGATATTGTATTTCCAAAGAAGAATATTTATGGGTGTGGGTGTGGGTGTGGCTGTGGGTCTGGGTCTGGGTGAGTGTGGGTGTCGGTGTGAGTGGGTGTAGGTGTCGGTGTGGGTGTGGGTGTCGACGTAGATGAATACAAAATCCACACTCCCACCCACACCCAGCCACACCCACATCCACACCCACACTCACACCCACCCCACACCCACACCCACACCCACACCCACTTTTCCTTCCCTGATAAAATCTCAATATTTGAAATCTGATTATCATAAAATCAACAAGAAATCAGTATTGATAAGATCTGTATGGATCAAAGGCCGTTGTTTCGACTGCTTTTTCTCTCTGAAATAATAGAAATTTGTTTAAAAAAACAAATGAAAATAATCATCGAAGACTAATTAACCTTTCATTTGTTAATAATCATATATTATTTCTTTATTTTGATCGTTCTCTTTTTACTGTATTCAATAAATAAATCTCCGTACAAAATATTTCTCTGTAGTATTAATTAACATGTAAGAATTATTTTTTATCGTAACATGGAATGTTTATTAATGAAATAAAAATTACATAAGAGGTATACGATGATTACACTATACTACTTTTGATCAACTACTAAAAAGATTAATAATTCCAGTTATATTGAGGCTCTCAAATATTCTGTTAGTTGAATTACTCCTTTAATTTTGGCTTTGTTTATGCAGATTTCTGGTAATTTTTTACCATCAAAGTAGAATGCACCATTCTCAAGCTTATCATTGGGAGTGTTCACAGCATATAAGATGGAATCAGCGCCGAGTTCTGGTGAACGAGCCCCTGGAGCATGTTTATTAATATCAGTGCTGCAATAACCTGGACATACAGAATACATGAATATATTTTTATCATCAGAATACTGACGTGCTTGAACTCGAGTGAGAGCGATCAAAGCTGCCTTAGAGATACCATACGCCAGATAGTGTAAATCATCAGGATATCCAACTTTTTTAAGATTGCTAAATTCGAGTGCCGAAAGAAAATCTTCGACAAGTCGATCAAGTTGTTTCGTGGTTAATGTTGAGGATATGTACTTATCTTGAAGATCTTTTGACGTGCACATCAATATAATTGAGCCTATTTGACTACCGACATTGACCACACGACCATTGTCACGTAAAAGAGGAATTAAATGTTTATTGAGTATTTTAATTCCATAATAATTAATAGCTAATGTTTCTCGAGCAGCCTGAACACTATCATCTTTTGGTAAAATTCCAGCATTGTTGATAATTACATCTAATTGACCGTTAGTCTTTTGTTTAAACTCATTGATAACATCAGTGATACTCTTCTCCGATGATGTATCCAATTGAAGAAGGTGTACGTTTGGTGGAGAGCCTAATTGATGAAGTGCTTCTTGGCCACGTTTTAAATCACGACTACCAAGAAAAATAATATCATTGATGTTAGATGACGATTTTTGAGCAAGTTTCTTTACAATTTCAAAGCCAATACCTTTATTAGCACCAGTAACCAGAACAATACGTTGCAGCCCTGTTTTTAACGACATATCATATATAAAAATGCAGTAACACACTTGTTGTCGTTATAAAGCAAGAAAAAATGTCGCACCTTGCTAGAAAAAAAAACATTTTTTTTTATTCGTTCTGCGCTATCGTATCGTATAATGACCTTCCCTCTAACAACACGTGCGCCATTGTTTTTGATTTGGCGATGTATTTTTTGCATCATCCGTAATCATTTTTACCTATCGAACATTTTTGCACTAACAGATAAAATAAAGCATTAGATGTAAACGAATAATCAATTCCATTAAGGAATATCGAAGATGCATAGAACTTCACTGATGTAAGTTGCAGAATAGTTATTTAGATGTGTATTGAAAGAAACAGGGTTGCCAAATCTCCTGATTTGACCAGAAAGGCGTGGGTCACAGTGGACAGTCAGGCGACAAAATCGATTTTCGTGATTCGAACCCATATCGTAGCTAACATTGAAGCTACTATGATCCTGTATTTAAGTGTATCTTGGATGCCATTCTATAGCGAGTATGCATTAAATAGCAGGTACTACGAAGTACGTAAAATAGATGAATATTATTAATGGAATCATATAAGTAAAATCTATATTTTTAATTGATAATCTAGTTATATTCTTTAGTTATTATATAGTTATACAGTGTTATGTATTTACTATATATTACAGACCGTTCGGACTTCTTGAAGTTCTTTAGGCTATAATAAGATCAAAAAATTACCATCAGTATAGTGAAAAATAGTCATTGGTCCATAATTTAGTTCGTGTGTCGGAGTTTATCATTTGATAGAACGTGTCATCGTCTATCTTCAGTGGATGTGCAAAGATGCGTCATGGAACCCTTGTCGAGATATTTGATTTTTAGGACATTTTTTAGCACAGCATTGTAGTCCCCCCTCAGGCACACCTGTAAAATCAACTTTCGAATTTCAACTTGAAACTATGTGCAGAGAAAGATCTCAATAAGACTAGTTTATTCTGAAAGTTTCAAATTTCTTGCTTGGTCCTATCCTTAAATATGAACATTTAACATTTTGTGCTATAAGTAATGTGAAAAAGAGTATTTTTTCTTAGACTCATATCTCGAGATAGAAAGAACCAAAAAGTCTGAAACTTTCAGAATAAACTAGTCTCATTGAGAACTTTCTCTACACAAAGTTTCAAGTCGAAATTCAAAAAATGATTTTTCAGGTAAACCTGAGCGGGACCACGGCGTTGTGCTAAAAATTGCCGTAAAAATCAAATATCTTGACAGAAATAACGTAGAAGCACAACTTTTTTCAGGCTGTTCATAGCGCATTAGAGCCTATATGATGCGCATACGCTCGACTCAAAAGCGATGTGACAATTGGGAATATTTCTTCGTCAATCTCCTTTGGTGCCACCGCTATTGGACAGCTTGCTGTTTTTTATGAAGCAGTGATATCAATGTTATTATAATTTTGAATGTCATTCATGTTGAATTTTTTCCATTTGTTATCTTGTTCATTTAAACCCAATGTATTTAAAAAGCAAAAAACTTTGGGAGAAGTTACATTTGTTTATGAAATATTCGTTTATTCATTTCTATTTGTGATATATTTATTTAATAGAAAAGGAAAGGTACATTTGAACAAGCAAACTCTTTCTGTAAAAGGTTTTTTTTTACATGAGATGTTCAAGAGAGAGGTGTCAAAAAGTGCGATTTTTTATTTGTAAGTCCTTCATGCATGATTCTGAGAGAATTTTATTAAAAATTAAAAACAAAATCTAAAATACAAATTTTATTTAGCAGAAAATTTCGTGTCTTTATAATCTTTGTGCATTAAAAGGCAAAAAAAATTCTTAATTTCTAGATACTGATTATAACATCAGCACTATTGCGTGTACCAGTTCCTATATTGTACAACCAATATGAAATAGTATATGTAGTACCGATAGGTGTTGAAAATATTTGACTTAAATAATCAGCAGCTCCTACTGCTCCATCAGTGTAAAAATAATTTCCTAATTGAGCTTGGTATAAATAATTCCAAAATTTAAAATTATTTGAGTTTGCCTCTACTGTACCAGCTGCTGTTGCACCACTTGGATTACAGTAAGTTCATGATGACATTGTACCAGTTTCAAAATCATTATTTGTAATGAGTTCAATAGTGGGATCTGATATACTTCTTACAGATATAGTATCAAGTGCAAAATAACCAATATCTTCACGAAAAGCATCGGCGGGCCAGCGTCTTTTTTTTAGGTGTGGCAAAATTTTTAAAATATCTGAGGAAGTCATAAGAAGTTAATTACAAAATCTTGTTAGTCTAGGTGCATTTTCATAAGAGTTTCTATATTAGTCATTCTGTTCATTTTATTTTTATTATTTCACTATTTAAAAAAATGATAAAACAAAAAACAATGGCACCGAAACCTGTCACGCAAAGATTTATAAATACAACTAAAATATTATTTTTCGGTTGTTCTTTACTGCTACAAATTCTTTTACAATTTCATCATAGTCAATTTCAAATTCACGTTCAATGTTTAGCAATGCAAGTGCTGATAAACGATCTTCTCCTGTTGTCGTTCGAAGATAAGTTTTGATTCTTCTCAATGTCGAAAAGCTTCTTTCGCATCCACAAGTGTTTACAGGTATCGTTAATAAAATCCTAAACAATTCGTTCATTACAGGTAAAGCAACATTCAAATGATTTTCGAGAATGAAAGATTTAACTTCAGTTAAATTTGCTTTAGAAGTAGGCAATTTAGTCTTGTATAAACATTGTTCGCCTCTTAGATCATCATAACTGAGCGAATATTGTTTCGACAGTTGCTGTAATTCATTTTCATTCAATAATTCCTTGGTCAGAAACAGTTTTTCCATGAGCAAAATGTCATTGATCATATTTTTATCGAATCGATTTTCAATTGATGCAATAATTGTATCAAGAACAGCATAGTAAGTGTTTATTCTATAGTGATCTTTAATATTTATGTCATTTAATTCTTTTTCTCCACCTCCAAGACGAGCAGGAATTTTTTCTTTCTAAGCTCCTTCGGAGGATCGATTCCATTATCTTCACACATTTGCAATGCTGTCGAATAAAAACGTTCGAACTCTGTTTCATTCCTTAAAGATTTTAAGGTTTCAACAGTCATTTTTACTTGTTTTAAAGCTTGAGTGATATATATTTCAGAACTTTGTAGATATTTCGATAAGATATTAGTTATTAGATATATTTCAGACATGATGAACACATGAAACACAAAATCAAATGATTCAATAGAATTAAGAAGTAAATAAGATTCCGGTACTTCCATTACTTGAAGTGTAGAAATGATTGGTACATACCTAGTTAAGACGATTTTCAGAGAATCCCATCTACATACCCACCTTGTATCTGATAATTGTTTCATTGTCAAAGATTGTAATCCAGCTTCTTGTTGCACTTCTTCGAATACGACGTGCTTTTTGGCAGAACATTCAATCAAATTGTATAAAGATGAGATAATACCAAAATTATTTCTGACAGATGGAACTCTAGATGAAACGTCAACTAAACAAAGGTTCAAAATATGTCCATTGCAATGTATATAAATACCTGAACGATAAAGAGAGAAACGCAACATATTTAAAAAAAGCATTGTCATTATTTGTTTTCCTTCTGACCACATGGTGCCACTTCTTTCAGACGTGCTGCTACACCTTTATATTCACCTCGCATTGCAGAAGCTCCGTCATATGACTGACCAACAATATTTTTAACTTCCAAATTTAATTTTTTAAGCCACTCTAATAATAAATTGAATAATGCTTCACCTGTCATTTCCTTCGTTCTCTCAAAACCCATGAATCGTTCATGAATATTAAAATTTTCATCGGTATATCTTATCACTAAGGATACTTGCTCTTGTTTCGATATATCAGTTGTTTCATCAATCATAACAGAAAAATATTTTGCTTTCTGAATTTCTTGTACAATACGATTTAATACTTGCTTATTCATCAGTAGAATCAGCTCGTTTTGAATTTTGTACTCTGTAAAATTGATTTCTTCTTTTTTTCTTCTTATTAGTTCATTATCACTACTTCTTAGTTCCAAAATTTCTAAGAAATTGCCTCTGTTTTTGGAGTCCACATTTTCACGATGACCACGAACTAAAATATGAAAAATAACTACGTCAAAGGAAACAAAGAGTACGCACATTTTTAATTAAAAATCTAATTATATTAGAATAACTTACAACTGACACCTTGTCGCGCTAGAAAATGAGCTGTTCGAATTAATTCTTTCAAATACGCTCGATTTTCAGTTGCTTGTTTAGAATTCTGTTGATCTAATAATATTAATACATCTGTATTGTTATTGTGATTTTGTACAGTTGTTTTCCATCTTTCAAACGATTCTTTATGACTATATGTTGCTTGATGTTCATTTAACCTTAATGTTCCATTTTTCCATATATTAAAACCATTAATTGTAAATCCTGCATCAAATTTATGTTCACCACGTAAGCGGCACGAAAAACAGAATGCTTGATCCAATTCTAAACTATATTCTAACCATGGATAAATATTATACCATTCAGGACGAAAACGACGACCATTAACATTGCGAAACTGTGTTTGTGGTTGAAATGGACCTAACAGTATGTATTCTTTTACTTTTGCAGGACCATGACAAGGGTCTCGTTGGTTCGAAGACAATGACATGGTAGATTCTGCTGTTGCAGAGCTACTAATTGAAGCAGCAGCGGTATTGTTGGTGGCCAAGGTAGTGGAATTCGTCGATGCATTTGGTTTAAATCGTTTTGTTCGAAGAATATCTGTTTCTTCAATTGAACATGGTTGAACTGTTGCTTCATGAACTTCGTCAATATTATAAGCATTTGATACTTTCTTAAAGTAGTTAGTTAATGGATTTGTACTTTTAGACATTTTACAAGAATTAATCTGAAAAGAAGCAGAACAAATATTGATCTAAACTTCAATTATAATCAATATATATATAGCATAAAATTCCGTTGAATTTGTTTTTACTTGTTGACTTGTTCAAAGAAACATCTATTGTTTCAATTTTACGAATTTATTTGTCGCCGTCAGTGTGGTGCCGTTATACTGAGAGAGAGAGCGAGAATGAGAGATGAACAGAATAGAAAAAAACATACAGTGCATAATCAGTCCGCTTAATTGTGACATTCACTATTATTGAAAAAGAACACTCTCTTGTTCTATTCTCTTTCTCAGCTATGTGAATAAACATTATAAATCATATCATAAAGTTCATCATTCTGAAAATGACTATGAGATTTGTTATGATGGAATAAAAGGTTCTTCAAAAATTACAACTAATGAAAAACTTTAGGTGTGGCAACTGCCACACCTTGCCACTGTGGTGGCCCATCGATGACGAAAAGAGAATGCAATACGAGTTCGATTTGAAATAGCTGTATAGGTATATGTATATTGTGTGTATGTTGTTATATTTTGACAATTACTACAATGATAAAGTGTAGTAACACCTTTCCATCCAGAAGTACATGTATTCGAAGTAATTGCTAAGAAAAGTAAAAGTAAAATAAAAATGTTATTTGTACGAGATAAAATACTTACTACCAGATGTCACAGTTGTGGTAGTTGTTACAGCTAAATATAATAATATATAAGTTAGGTTTTGTATATGTAGATCTAATTATAAAAATTTTACACTATTTTGATTTGCATTATAGTCGTTA